CAAAGAATGCCATTAACAGCTAGAAGGTTAAGAAACAAATTCTCCCTGGAAGCTTCTATGTGGAAATCAGTCTTAATAAATTCTGATCTTCAGAGAGATAAAAGAATAATTTAAAGAAAATTTCATTTAAAAAGGTTTATTCTATTTTATGATTATGAATGTTTTGCCTGTATGCATGTATGTGCACCAAGTATGTGCCTGTTGTATCCTCAGAATCTAGGGTTAAGGATGGTTGTGAGTCACCATGTGGGTGCTGGGGAATCAAACTCATATCCTCTGCAAGAGCAGCAAGTGCTTTCAATTACCAAACCATCTCTCCAACCCCAGACATAAAAGAGTAAATGTATGCTGTGTGAAGCTAGGTCTGTGGTGTTTTGTTAGGAAGCAATAGGAAGCAGATACTGTCCCCTGGTTGGGTTCCCACTTCCCTCCTATTGTTAAACCTGAAAATTGTGAGGAAAAAGACCAAATTCATAATTTTCTAATTATAACAAGCTTTATTTAAAAACAGCCAGGATGACGGACACTGGCAAGATCCATACCCAGAATTCCCAAAGAATGGTGCTGAAATAGGTTAGTCAGGTGCTTATAAAGGCAAACCCACAAGGCTACATACTTCCGGCCTTCCTCCAATTGGGGCAAGCATACATCCTGACATACTTCCTGTCTAAGTACTTCCCTTCTATGTAACATGAATTGCTAAATGGTCTTATTAATAAAAAAAATGGAGCTAGATATTGGGGTGAACGCTGAAAGATCAGAGAAGCAGAACAAGCTACAGCCAACCTCACCTCGCCAACTCCTCAGCCGATCCTATTTCCATTAATTCTCAGACCGAAACCCTTGAGTCCTCACCCCTGAGGGTCTTAGTTGAACTGCTGCTTAGTTCCTGTCTCCTCAAGCCTTATATACCATTCTCCACCCAGCCATGTCACTTCCTGGGATTAAAGACGTGTGTTTTCCAAACAAAGGCATGAGATCTCAAGTGCTGGGATTAAAGGCGTGTGCCACCACTGCCTAACTCTATTACCAGTGTGGCTTTGAGCTCACAGAAATCCAGATGGATCTCTGCCTCCCAAGTGATAGGATTAGGGGTGTGTGCCACCACTGTCTGGCCTCTATGTCTAATCTAGTGGCTGGCTCTGTCCTCTGATCCCCAGATAAGTTTATTAGGGTATACAATATATCACCACGTTTAGGGTACACGATATATCACCACACCTCTACATGTGATCAAGTGCATCCTGTGCAGTTGGGACAACCAATCTTGTTTGCTGAAGTGAAAACATGTGGTGTGTTATCTTATATGAACAACAGCCCCCAGCATTCCAGGAAGCTATCTGTCCTGGGGCCAGTGGGGCTGACAGGTTAGAGGCCTTTTTGTTTTCTAGATCTCTTAAGCACAGTCATTTAAACTAAAACAGAACTTGAGCTCTCACATTGTAAACCCCACCACCTATTTTTTGACTGGGTCTCACTATGTAGCCCTGGCTAGTCCAACTTGCTGCATAGACGTGGCTGGCATCCAGTTCACAAACATCTGCCTGCCTTTGCCTCCCACATGCTGGCATTAAAGGCATGTGTCATCATATCCAGACCTTTTTTTTTTTTCTGAGACAGATTTCCCCATGTAGCTGTCCTAGAACTCATTCAGGAGCCCAGGCTGGCCTCGAATTTACACCCACCTTCCTGCCTTAGTCTCCCTAGCCCTGGGATCATAGACATTTACCACCAAACTCAATTCTGCCTTCTTCCTTTGTAGTGCATTCTCCTCCACACCACAGATGGGGGAATCTTCCAAATATAAATAAGATTGTCATTGTCCTGCTGTTGTGGGATATTTGTACACTATGTGAAGGTGTATTGCTGTGATTAGTCTAATAAATAGCTAAACACCAACAGCTAGGCAGGAGATATAGGTGGGACTTCCAGGTAGAGAGAGAGGAATCTAGTGTGCAAGGGTGATGCCAGGAGACACAGAGAGGAAACAGGAGGTGCAAGATGGAAGAGAGATAATGCCATGCGGTAGAAAGTAGATTGATATAAATGGGTTAATTTAAGTTATAAGAACTAGTTAGGAACAAGCCTAAGCTATAGGCTGAGCTTTCATAATAAGTCTCCATGTTGTTATTTTGGGAGCTGGCTGGTGGACAGAGAAAGACTTGTTATGTTGTGGAATAGAATATTTGTTTAACTATGTAAAGATGTGTTGTATTTGCTTGTGTTGCAGAATTATTGTTTACCTGTGTAAAGATATGCTGCTGTTTCACCTTTCCTGCCTAAAGCATCTGATTGGTCTAATAAAAAGCTTAATGGCCAATAGCTAGGCAGAGGAGGGATAGGCAGGGCTGGTGGGCAGAGAGAATAAGTAGGAGGAGGAATCTAGGCTGGAGAGAATGAAGGAGAAAGAGAGGGAGATGCCACGGGCCAGCCAGCCAGGCAGCTGCCAGCCAGCCAGACAGACACGGAGGAAGCAGGAAAGTAGGACATACAGAATGAAAGAAAGGTAAAATGTAGATGAAGAGAAACAGGTTAAAATAAGTTATAAGAGTTAGTGGGACAAGCCTGAATTAAGGCCAAGCATCTATAACTAGTAAGTCTCCGGGTCATGATTTGGGGGCTGGCAGTCCAAGAAAGCCTGCGCCGTTGTTACATCCTGCTTAAACCTTTCTCATCAAGAGCCTTCTCTTTCTGTTTAAATGTTTAAAGAATGTTGAATCCAGATACTCATGCATGCTGGGCAAATACTCCACCGTTGAGCCACCCGACCTCTTCTCTTTAGATCAGGAACAGAATCCAAATGTACTAGTTATGGGCCCTGCATGGTCTGGCCGCTGGCTTCTTCTCTGTTCTCCTCCATTCCTCTTTCCACGGGGTTTCCTCTCCCTCTGAATAGGATAGGAAGAAAAAAAAAAAACTGGGAGGAGCTGAGAAGAGGAAAAAGCACCTTTCCCTGGGGCCAAGAAACTTCCACACCACTGATGAGATCAACACTGCTGGCACAAGAGACAGTGCTCTTTCTAAAGATACCGCAAACAAGAACTCTGCTGTCTTAGGGTCAGGATGCCTTTGGCCTCTTTTATTCTTAAATGTAAACAATGTAACCCATAAAACCACCTTACAATTTCATTTACAGTAGAAATTTCTAAGCAAAGCAGGTCACTTTGTAAAATTTCTGTTTATTTTTGTTTTTGTTTTGTTTTGTTTCTGAGACAGGGTTTCTCTGTGTAGCTTTGGCTGTTCTGGAACTCACTCTGTAGATCAGGCTGGCCTCGAACTCACAGAGATCCATCTGTCTCTGCCTCTGGAATGCTGGGATTAAAGGCATGCGCCACCACCACCTATCACAAACTTATTTTTAAATATTTAAAATTTTTAAATTTTGTAAATTATATACTTTGAATGATGTAACTTCAAAAATCACAAAATCATATATATTTTATATATTCATTGTAAAGATGCCCCCCCCCCACCTGACCTTCTTGACAGAGCAGATGCTTTCCACTTTGGGATCTTTGCTCTAGACATTCATTTGGCCTGAAACACTGTCTCTGGAATCTTGGATGTCTGGTCCCTTTATCCTTCAGCTCACAGTCATCCTCTTCAGGGGAGGCTTCCCTGACCACCATTTGAAGAGGTTCCCGTCACTGCCCCCATAACCCTTCTTAGTGGTCTCTACAGTGTTCGTTATCTGAAACTCAGCCACTCACTTGTTTGGTTATTTCCTCCCTACCTGTAATCCCAAGTTCAAGGAAACCAGAACTTTAGTGTGTCTCGCACACTGTTGTATCTCCAGACCCTACAAGTACCTAGTACAGGCTAACAAGCACTCACTAAAAGCCCATTGCAAGATTGAATACTTGCTCTTACAAAGGCCCAGGGTTCACGTTGGCTTTCACCAGAGCAGGGTCTAGAACCCTGGCCTCCTAACTAAATCTGGAGGTGGAATTGGACCGGACTTTAGTCACTTTTGTTAGAACTTGGGGTTGGACTTTAGGGCCACCCAGCCTGCTTAGAGGAGTTCACCTTTACTATTTGACTTAGGATGGGGATGTAGCTCACTGGTAAAGTCTTTATTTGCCTAGCATACACAAGGCCTGGGGATCTAGGACTGCATAAATAAAATGTATTCTTTGAGAATGGCAATGGAAAGAGCAATGATGTGGTGGAAATAAGAAGGGCCCCCATAGGCTCATGTATGTGAGTGTTTAGTCACTAGGGAGTGACGCTATTTGAAAGGATTAGAAGGGTTAAGAGGTGTGGCCTTGCTGGAGGAAGTGTGTCACTGGGGTTGGGCTTTGAGGTTTCAAAAGCTCATGCCAGGCAGAGCCTCTCTGTTGCCTAAGCATCAGGATGTAGAACTCTCAGCTACTTCTGTACCATGTCTGCCTGCGTGCAGCCATGGTCGCTGTCGTGGTGATAACCGACTAACCTCTGAAACTGTAAGCAGGCTTCCCGTTAGATGCTTTCTTTTCTAAGAGTTACCTTGGTCGTGGCGTCTCTTCGCAGCAATGGAACAGTGGCTGAGACAAATGGTTAAAGCTTAGCTAGCACTTGTATGTACCAGACAAGATTCTCTATTTCCATATAAATTCATCTGCTCTTCACAGCCAGATTGTGAAAGGGGTCACGGTCATCCTCACGTTAAAAACAAGAAAACGGAGGCAATGGACTCTCGGGTCACTTGAATGTTTCTATCAAGTCTTTCTTTTGCTCTCATTCCCTCCCACGCCCCGGCCTGGAGGTGAAGCAAGGCGTGACGGTCCAAGTTCCCAAAGTGTCATTCCTCATCCTGGACAGGCTGAAGGGGTGTGTGTGGGGGGGAGGGGGCGGGGGAGGAGTGGTGTCCGAGGGCGCATGCCCAAGGGAGAGGGAGAGGGGCAGGGATTGGCGGAAGAAGGGCAACTGGGAGCGGAAGCCCCGCCCACCGCAGGCGAGACTTCCGGCCGTAACGGCTTGGGCCGGCTTCTGCTGACGGAGTTGACACCGCGGAGACCGGGATGGTGTTGCTGGAGAGCGAGCAGGTATTCGGCCGCCCGGAGGGCCGGGGACTCAAGCCCGTGGGGTCGGCTCGGGTCGCGCTTTCCCCCCCTTTGCGGGCGGGCGGGCCGGGGCCGTGGGGCGG